TGTGTGTGTGTGTGTGTGTGTGTGTGTGTGTGTGTATCACCGTGATGTTTTTTTTGCTGTTCTTGGACTCCGTTACGTCAGTGTTGACTGAAGGACTCTTGTGTATTCTCTGAGAATTTGTGTTCTACGCCGATTCGCAGAAGTTGTTTTTATCCTCTCAGTGATGACGTTTACATAGTGGCCTGGAAGAGCTTTAAACATTCAGAATGTTTGAAAGTAAAAAAAATAGAAATTAATATTAATAATAGAAATTTCTTGACTGGATACATATCATATCGCCTTTCRTGCCAGTGTTTCAAATTATTATTTTGTGTGTCAGTGGGCGTGTCGCAAAGGCAATAAATCAATTATTTGCTTAAACTGATAAATTAAATGAGATTTTAAAAAGAGGTTACTATTACTTTATTATAAAAATGGTCTCCAATCGATATTATTGTTTTTACGTATGCAAATTTTGCAAATTTCTGTAAGTTTTGTAAGCGGGAGTGTTTAATTCACTTAATTCAGTAACTGCCTGCTAACGCTGTGAGTTCAGTTTTTGGATATAAATTCGTGTCTAATCTTACATCCACAAAGTCTCTTCAGTGTTGGATTTTATGTCGTCCTAATGCACGAATGTGACGCTTTTTTATCTGCTTCCACAYTGGGTGTCCATATGTCTCCAGCAGGACAAATGTCAAGCCTAGACATTCTGCCACGTCTGTGTAAGAAGCTTTGCAGTGCCCCACTTATTCACAGAGCATCAGCCCTTACTGATGCAATTTCTGCTTTAACTGACAGGCAGTTATGTAGCCATGCCGGCTATGTGTCCCAGCTGCACTGTGCTGATTTATTCCTCCCCTCTCAATGACAGTAGCTCTAAATGGGTGGGCTATCAGAGTCGTGGAGACAATGTGAAGAATACTTACATGTCCTTGTGAGATTAATTACTTTCTCGTTTTTACAGCAGCTTTTGCTGACTGTGCCGTTAGCAGGTTGGGCACTGTGAGCGGCTAACGTTGGCTCTCTCTGTGGGAAAAGTACACACCTGGACAGGTGTTCCTGCGGTGGTTTGTGTGGAAAAAGCTGCTCAAAGCAAAGATCCACAGCCTGRTTGTTAATAAACAGCTTGTAGCTTCAAAACCTTTTAGCCTTTATAGCATCAAAACTTAGTATAAGTATATATAAAAATTGCAGCCTATATTTTTATAGTTGCCCAACTATCTTTCTGTAACTCATGAGTGTTGCTTAAGCTCACTAGTTGATTGTGTCATTGCATTCCTCAGTGAGAGATGTGAAGTAAGTCTGTGTGCGGTTGAGTGGATTGTTTGGGTTACTGCTGGGGTGGACGTTCTGCCATGGGCAGGGTGGTATTTCCTGCTGAATAAATCACAGACTGGATACCATGTCCTTAAATACACATGGCTGAAAAAAATATCTAAATTCACCCTTTCTAACTTTGCACTTATAAAACTACAAATATACTTTGTGTGTGTATATTACAGTACTCTACCAAAGTTTTTATTTTATTTTATTTTTTATTTTTTGCTGATAATAAATCTGTTGTCATCTGCCTGCATGAAAAGGCAGGCAATCATGTAACCTGTGTCTGTTTTGYTTGTTTATTTGTCTGTCAGCTAAATGTGTAAAAGAAGCAGAAGAAATTGAAATTTAAAAAGCAGAACCACAGCTAAAATTGGCAAAACTAGTCCAAAAAAAACAAAAATTCACAAGCCTTAGCAAAACAGTACTGTACATTGGCAAAATCATAGCTGAAGCCTAAAAACAACAAAACCTTAGCCAAAATGAGCAAAACATTTGCTATTCAGACTTGCAAACATGTGGCTAAATAAATAACTAAATCAAAGCTAAAAGTTAAGATTTACAAAACCACAGCTTAAAGCTTAAAACTAGCTAAACTGTAGATACGTATATATTACACCAAGAAAAACTCTCTTTTAATAAAAGAATAATTAAACTGGCAGAAAAGACATAGTTTGATTGCAAAAAACAAAGCATATGGAAGAAACTGTAACCAAGAAAACAAAAAGCATGAATGATGACGTGCATCTACACCTGATTACCCTTTGGATTTGGCCCAGCAACTTTGGCATGCATGCTTGGAGAGARCATATAATAAAGCATTTTTTAAAGACATCTGAACCTTGGATTTATTTATGTCAGTAAGATTATTGGGAGAAATCTSTCTGCACATTTTGTTTGCTATCTGTGTTCACCATGGTACCATATTTTGGCGTCAGAGGAGCCCATCTGTCAGGCAGAGTAGGATGAACTGATTTTTGAAATGAGCTAAAAATGMTCATAAGGCCTTTTTTAACTTGTCCCAGTTATGCTTTTAGTTTACACACGTAGCAAAATAAATCTTTGAGGCTCCCTAAATGATGTTCAGTTTTATGTATCTGATGAATAACTTTCTTTGTTTACATGTTTTTATTTGAGCTGTTTTGTGACACTAACTGAGAACTCCATTTTGTTTCACACACTATGACTGGCTTCATATTTTATTCAACCCCAAACTTATCTTTGGATACTGTGGGAGCAGAACGAGCAGGGTGAGAAGTAGCTGAGTGGACAGTTTCATAAATTAATCATATTTTGGTTCAGATACAGTATACGGAGCTTCAATCTGGGAGGAAGATCTCATTTTGAGATGGAAATTATGTTCGCTTTTCGAATGCTGGGCTGCAATGCACTGATGAATTTAGTTTTGTCATTTCTGTTCTGAGGGTGTTTTTGCTGACTTCAGGAGGCTCGGTTCATGTGTTGATCATTTTAAACCATGTTTTATTACAAGATTTAAACAAGGAATCTTTTTTTTTCTTCTCCTGAATTGTTTTATCTTTTCTAGAGCTAAACGCATCCAATTATTGCATCCATTATTGACCAAAGTCATTTTTTTAATTCCCATGATCCAAGTTTGTAGCTTTGGATGAAACCTAAAGGGCCCGAGAACTCAGCCCTGTATTTTTTTTATCGTCCTTGACTTTGCCTCAGTTAGGCTGTTGTCACAACAAACAAACTAAGGCTGTGTCCAAAACGACAGGCCGGGTCCTCCGGAGGACCTAGACTACCCTGTCGAGGTGGGCCGGGTCCTTGGTAGACCGGGAAGACCGGAAAAACAGAGGCTGTGAATTTGGATGGTCTAGCCTCCCCTCCACCCCGGCGTACGTCTTGTCACCTAGCAACCATGACGATGCTAAACAGAAGCAAAAATAGATCAAAATTAGAGAAACATCGATACATTAGCATTATTAATATCACAAAACAATAAAATTAACTTGAAGTTAACATTTGAAGAAATAATTGACCTGCTGTAGGTGCATGTTTATTTTGCATTTTTTTATGACAAAAATAATATTTAAAAACATGTCCACACAAATGATAAAAGAGGATGTAAAAAAATGGCAGGTTGGCGTTCCTGGATTGCGATGTCTCGGTTTCGGATGGAGGACGGTTGGAAAC